ACTGTTTACTTAACTCTTTGTTAACCACTTAGGTTGTTTCTAATTTTTTGTTAAAAATTTTGTTAAAAAAAACTGCTGTGATCACATTATCACTAAATTTTTAGGCACTTTCACACATATATTTTCTTATAAACACTCTTAAACGTTCAAGTGATGGGCCAAAGGGAACACCATTTTGAAAGTTTTTCATGTGAATTACCTAACAGCCTTTCATAAAGTTGCACCAATGAATGGAGTAGCCAAATATTTCTTTCTTTTATTCTGTCCACAATCACCACCACCACCACCACCACCACCACCATCATACTATTTAAATAATTATAGTTTTATAACATCTAGTAGGACAAGGCCACCTAACTTATTATCTTCAAAGTTTCATTAGCTATTTTCCTAAGTTTTATTCTTTCAGTTTAGAATCACTTTGTCAAGTACTATGTTCCACTAGCATTTTATTGAAATGGCACTGTAATTTTCACTTTAAAAGCATTGTTCTACATAGAAAATACCATTTTGCACTCTAAAAACAATTCATCATGAATAGATTCTGCCACGAAAATCAATACTGTTTAGTAAGCAAGACTATTTCTAGGAGAAAGCCATAAACAGGAGTGGCTATTATAAAAAACAAGTCTCCATGACACAGTTTTAGTATAAGAAACAAGGATATACAGTATATATATTTTAAAAATATTAAATTATAAAAACAGATGCTAATTCAAGAAAAAGATAATGTTTTGGAATAAGAGCAGATATCCTAATATCTCATGATTTCATAGACAATAAATAAGAAGACTTCCAGGAAAAAGAAATTGTTCTTTATGATAAGAATTTAATTCAAGTGCTAAGGATTAATAAATGTATAAGAACAAGAAAGGCAATAATCAATGCAATATTTAGACTAAACTTGAAAGGTTTATGTAAAAAATGAGGCAGGGTCTTCATACTACACTGAGCTAGAGATATCCAGAAAATACAGATTTGAAGAAAACAAGAAATTATCTATTAGATGGGTACTGTTACGGGAAATCTTATGAAAAGGTGGCTAAAACGAAGATGTTTCTTAAATTCTGAAATTGTAGATCTAAAAATAGTCATGGTCCCTTATGAAAGTTTGATGAAGGCTATCAACTATCTTTAAAGAAAATTTGCATAAATATAAACACATTCTTTTGTTTATACTCTTTAGGGTTCAGGTTAAGAATATCTGCTTTGTGTAAAGGAAACACAAGATAATGGAAACATTTGGTAAAGAAATATGCTCAAAATGACAGTGATCTATTGAAGTGAGTGGTTGAAAATTTATATTTTAAATTGAGGTAGGGGAAAATCTGACAAATAAAAGACTTTGGACTTACATATTTGTTTGAAACTGCCTCTACTAACTGGTACACTTGAAATTGTTCTCACTAAAGGTACCAATGTCATCTTTGTTATTGAAATGATATGCCTTACTTGATTTCTTATGCTACTTGATCTCTGTAATATTTAACACTGTTAACCACTTAATATCACACTCGGTTTTTCCTTAACTCCCAGGGTGGTCCCTTCTCAGTTTTAAGAGATCTTATTATTAAGGTGTCTATATATCAATCTTAAATCTCTGAAAAATCTGAAATCACTTCAATATCAAGGTTTCCCTAAGGTCCTGCCTATTCTCTCTCTTTTCACAGTAAGTCAAGAGGACCAGTGATGGAAAATCTCATTTTAAATTATGTGAAGGCTGATCAGTGACACATATCAGTACTTGTCTAAGCAGAGGTGGAACAGCTGTGCAAACGGTGCAGTTGTGCAGGTGCTGAGGCAGACCCCAGAAGCTGCTCCCTGAGATTGAGAACTCATCCCATCCCCATTTCTCCAAATCTGCAGGGGCTGCAGAAGAACTAAGGGAGCAGACTGGGTCAGGGCTTCTTCATAGCTTTTTGCAGCTGAATGTTCACAGCATAATCAGAGTTGTTCATCCTGGCATTAAACACTGCCTGACCCTCTGCAAGAACATCTCCCTTCCAAGGCTTTCCAGAAAGGCTGTCTAGGAAAATGATGAAATGGGGTCAGTGCTGTGTGACTTCTAGTGAGATAATCCAATAGTAGGTGGTTAGTTACCTACTGAATCTAAAGCTAAGCAATTAAGGCTTGGCTCCATTTTCACTAATCTGTGTGGGTCCTCAGGACTCTGTCTTTAGATACTGACAAGAAGAAAAAGTATACATTTGTCATGTTGGATACCTGTAGTTAGTGTAGGGGAACTGGTCTCTCTCTGGGATACTGTAAAGCTGGGGGCAGAAACCCAGGCATTAATTCAGCTTTTTCTCCCAAATTAAGTTGTAGACTCACTATTACTGAATTTGGTTCAAGAGCCAGAGCTTAATGTTTCTAAACATTCTCTTAAATGGAAGCACTAAGAGCAGAGATTAAGTTTATCTTGAGCAGTGATGTAAGCCCCAAGGATTATAAAAGCTACAGTGCAGAAATGAAGCTTCTCCATGTCTGTGGGGCCCTAATGTGGACACTGTCATCAGGGACGTTGGATCATGGGAAAGTGCTGATATATGGTTCATTTGCATCTGCTTTGTGGTCATCGTATTTCCAATGTGATTCCATAATCTGACTAAATAAACTGGGAACCCAGTCTCTTATAAGGGTATATGGTGTAATTTCTATCCATATCTATCTTCCACCTGAAACAATGCTGCTCAGGGCTATGTTCTGAAAACTAACTCTGTCATAATTTGTTTTATAATTGGGTAACTTGAAAAGGGCTAGAACAATGTAAGTACTGTATGAATATTTACTTGACTTTTTGTTTTCAAAGCACTTTACCAAAAGTTCATTCCTGAAAGCTGAGGTATATTTGGGGTTGCTCCATGCTGTGAAAAATGGGAGATCTGATTGAAAACTTGGTTCCATCACCCAGTGGTGGGTCACTTAATCTTACAGGAATGTTGTGAGAATGAGAATATAGAAAAAAATGTTTAGGCCTCCTAGTTATGGATGCAATGGTGATGGTAATACTGGGGAAGGAAGCAGTGGTGTGGTAGCTATTATAATCCTATGAAACAGTCACAGTTATCATATATCCCTCAAACACCTTTCACTTATTCAAGAGACATTGATAAAAACCAACATCCTTTCATATAAAAACATTCAATAACCTAGGAATAAAAGGAAATTTCCTCAACATGATATGTGAAAAACATATGTGAAAAACCCACAGCTAGCATCATACTCAATGGTGAAAAGACTGAAAGTTTTTTTCCTAAGACCAGGAATAAGACAAGGATGTCCACTTTTGCCTCTTTTACACAACATTGTCAGAGCAATTAGGCAAGAAATAGAAAGAAAGGGCATCCAAATTGGAAAAGAATAAGTATAACTATCTTTATTCACAGATGACATAACCTTACATGGGTAGAAAACCCTAAAGAATGCACAAAAAATGTGTTAGAATTAAATCATCAAAGCTGCAGGATATAAAACCAACACAGGGAAATCAGTTGTATTTCCATCCACTAGCTATGAATAATACGGAAACAAAATTAACTTCTGTTTATAATAGTATCTAAAAGAATAAAATACCTAGGAATAAATTTAACCAAGGAAGTAAAAGGCTTATACACTGAAAACTATAAAATAATACTCAAAAAAATTAAAGATGACATAAATAAATGGGAAGACAACCTGTGTTCATGGATTAGAAGACAACATTTTAAGATGACAATACTCCCTAAAGCAATATGCAGATTGAATGCAATTCCTAATAAAATCCCAATGGTGTTTTGAGCAAAAATGGAAAAACTAATCTTAAAATTCATATGGAATTTCAAGTAACCCAGAATGGCTGAAGAAATATTTAAAAAGAAGAACAAAATTGGAGGCCTCACACACCCCAATTTCAAAACTTATTACAATGCTACAGTAGTCAAAACCGTGTGGTGCTGGCACAAGGACAGACATATGGACTGATGGAATAGAGTTGGGAGCCCCGACATAATCCCTCACATGAGCGGTCAATTGATGTTTGACAAGGGTGCTAAGACTGTTCAATAGAGATAGAATATTTTCCTCAACATGTGGTGCCAGGAAATCGGCTATCTGTATGTAAAAGAACAAAGTTGGACCCTTATCTAACACCATATACAAAAATCATCTTGAAAGGATCAAAGACCTTAATTTAAGAGATAAAACTACAAAATCTATACAGGAAAACATAAGAGCAAGAGTTCATGACTTTGGCGACACCAAAAGTAAAGCGACAGCAACAAAGGAGGTTAAATTGGACTTAATCAAAATTTAAAACTTTTGTATCAAAGGACAATGTCAAGAAAATGAAAGGACAACCCACAGAATGGGAGAAAATATTTGCAAATCATATATCTGATAAAAGTTTAATATCTAGAATATATGAAGAAAAGACAAACAATCCAATTTTAAAAATGGGCAAAGGACTTGAACAGACATTTCTTCAAAGAAGACCCACAAATGAACAATAAGCATATTAAAAGATATTCAACATCATTAGTCATAAGGGAAATGCAAATCAGAGCCACAATGAGACAGCACTTCACATTTATTAAGATGGCTATAACTAAAAAAAAAGCTGTTGGCAAAGATGTGAAGAAATTGAAACCCTTGTACATTGAGGGTAGGAATGTAAAATGGTGCATTCACTGTGGAAAACAGTTTGGCAATTCCCCAAAAAGTTAAGCATAGAACTTCAGAGAAGAGGTCGGAAAAGTGATTTAAGACATATAAGGGCTTTTTCTTTCCTATCCCATTCTGAAGCCTTACCTCAGAGGTAACTATTATGCTAGATTTTGTGTTTATGGTTACAGAGAGTTCTGCTTGTTTGTCACCAAAAACTGGTATACTAAAGTAGTCTTCTGTGACTTGAGTTTTTCACTCAATATTGTGTTTATAAAGAAATGAAACCCTGTTTACTGATAGCCACAAGGAATAACATATTCCAGACATAATCTTAAATTAATAAAAAAAGAAACAAAATATCCAAACCATCTAGTAATATATATTGTAATGTACCTTAAAACAAATGCTAGGGAAAAACAAGGAAAAACACAAAACAGCAAGGAACTTCAACTTCTCTCCCAAATTTTTCATAAGTAACTCCTACCCCCATTCCCTACTATGCATTCTTAACTTCTTCTTTAGACAGCAAATTGAGAAAATGCGAAAAGCCTGAATGAAAACCCCAGGAATATTTTCCCCAGAGGTCTTCCCTTCTCCTCTCTCTGACTTTCCCTGGAAGGGCAGGCCCCTCAGCTTGAAAGCCTGGGGAGGCCCAAAGTGGTGGCCGGGGCGGAGAGGAGGGCTACCCCCGCAGAGAAAGGGGCAGGGGAATACAGCGGTGTAAAGCAATATCCCCCATAATGGGGGACATCAAAGTGGAGCCCCGGTGCCAGGGAAAAGCACATTGGTAGCCCGGGGCAAGGAGGCCCAGCTGCCCCCACGGCTTCCCACAGGGAGGCATCACTGGTCGGCCAACTGCACATCTTGCTCCGGTTATAGAACCAAACTCGGACCGCTTCCTTCCGCAGCCGGAGGTACCCAGCGATGCGGCTGATTTGCTGGGGTGTGGGCTTCGGGCACTGCAGGAAGAGTCTCTCCAGGTCGTTTCCGATTCGCCGCTCCCTGCTTGCCCGTCTCCGCTTCCGAGCCTGCTGCAGAATCATCTCCATTTTGCATACGCCCAGAAGGTTTTCCTCATCCATTTCCTCCAGCCACATTTTCAGCAGCGGCCGCAGCTTCCACATGTTGGCGAGGCTGAGCTGCTGCGCCTCGAAGCGGGAGACGGTCGTCTGGCTAAGCACCTTCCCAAACAGGGCTCCCACGGCCAACCCCACATCGGCCTGCGAGTAGCCCAGGCTCATCCTCTTCTGCCTCAGCTCTTTGGCCAGCTGCTCCATCTCTTTCTCTATGGCCGGGACATCCTCTGGCAGCGCCAACTTCGGGATGCGCTGCAGGGCAAGGGAGGGCCCTGGGAAGGTGACCTCGGAGGAGCTTCGGAACCAGGCCCCTGCCTCAGCGGCTCCGAACTGAGGCCCGCATGCCATCCTGCCCGGGAATTCGTACAGCAGGGGACCCGGGGCCACCCCCCACACCTCGGGGCCTGGGCAGACCCTGGGCCTGACCCCCTGCTGGACCATCAGCCTGCCAGGGGCCGCCTGGGCACACAACCAGGTCGGAGGGTCAACCCGCACAGGCATCAGCCCTCCGGCGCCGCCCCCCTCACTGCCTGGAAGGGGGTAAAAGTTTGAGGGCCTGTGTCCGGCCATGGGGTAGGACGGCTCCCCCAACAGGTCTGGTAGGAACTGATGGCTCTCGAGGCTTCAGAGTAGCCACCAGCCTTGCCCTCGAGCCCCGCCCCCAGTGGGCGGGGACGGCATTACAGGCGAGGGAGTGTGTGTGCAGAGGCTAAAGGTGTGTTTGTGCAGAGGTGGGGAAATCTCTGGTAGGTCCAGTGGTCACTCCTTAGGTCCTAGGGTTAAGGGAGTGGGTCGCCCATCCTGGCCTTTGCTTCCAACTCCCACTGAGGTGCAAAGCTCCTTTTTGGGATTTCTACCTCCAACCTGTCTGGAGTTCCTCTTAGCCACTGCCTCCATCTTCTCCCTGGTATTTACTCACAGCTTTCTAGAAACTGAGGTGTCTACTCCCTGACACTACCCTCACCTCTCACCCCACCTGGCCTCTGGCTTCCCAAATATTTGTTAAACATCTACATTCCAGGTATTGCTGGGACTACCCCACAATTCATTAACTGTCTCCTCAGTGCTATCTTACGGTCACAAGAACTGCCAACAGTCCCTCTTTACACATCGTCAGTCCCTGTGCCCTAAGAAATCTAGGCATCCTGCTTGAATTTCTAGTCAGCATCAGTTTACTACCTCAGATTCTATCCCCACCCCCACACTCTGCCAGATTCCACTCCTTTACTGGGACAGAGTTTCTTAACTAATTCCATGTTTCTCCCACCAGCCTTGAAAGTCCCTTGTTTCCCATCCTACCCCAGCTTCCTGCTCCAGAGTATCCTCATCTAACGGAAACACGTGGGTGTCATCTTTTTCCCCCTCTGGAGACAGGTCTCTGAACTAGCCTAACCTTCTGTCCCCAACTGAGGATGTTCCCTGCAATATATGACTCACCAAGGCTCCTCTATCCCTGGCCCCTCTCCCAGCAGAGACCCAAATATCTTAGTCTGTCCCTCCATCATGTGCCTCACTCAGGCACCCAGTTCTGGCCCCTGAGTGGAGAAGGCTAAGGAGGGAGGGGGAAAAGAAGACCTGACCTTCAGTTCAAAGCTTCCAAGGAGGAAGAGGACAATGACATCAGCTGGACAATTACAGCCTCTTACTTCTTCATTCTTTAACCCAATCATGATGTGGCTCTGCCTCCACTCACATCTACTGAAATTGGTAGATCATGAAGTCATCAGTGACCTTCCAACTGTCAAATCCAAAGTGCTCATACTACTAAACTTCTCTGTAATATCTGACTATGCTGGCTACTCTTGCTCCTTCTCCTTTTAAAATTTACATGAAATGCAGGTAACAGTCAAATCTGTATTCCAGCCTTGACTTCTCTTCTAATTTCCAGTTATTTTCCATTGCCCCAAATCAAATTTATTATCTGAACTTCTAAACCTGCCTCTCCTTCAGGGACCCTTGAGCTGGTTAATAGCATTCTCACCTCTCAGTCACCTAAGCTCTAACCTAGGAGCTATTCTTGACATTTCCCACAATCCGTAGGGCACCAAATCTTATACACCAGGTTTCCTATAGCATCTGAACGCTACCATCTCCTTCTTAGTCTCCCCTTACTGTTTTAACTTAGGACACATATTTTCTCATCTGTACTATCATAATAACCTTATAATCGGCTTATGCTTCTCCTTCATGTTTATCTTGCATACTGCTGCTAAAGATAATTTTCTAAAAACCACACCTAACTACACCCAACTCAATCAAACGAAAATCTAACCATATTATTTTCCTCTTAAAATATCTTCAAAATCTAGTCCCCATTCCCCCAATTGACAATGTGGGTACACAAAGCCCTGTGCATGGTACACATGGCTTTTCACCATTTGGACCCTTTCTTCTTTGCCAGCCTCAATCAGTCACACCCACACTACTCCTCCCCCTCCCCCTCACATCTTACCCCATGCTCCAGCAGAGAATATCTCACTTTGCAATAAAGATGCTATGCTTTCATACACATCATGCTCTTGTTCATGCTGTTCCTTCTGGCTGAAATGGTTTCCCCCTGGTTCTTGGTCTCATCTCATATCATTTAGGATTCTGCTCAAAGAGTCTCTCATTAGAGAAGATGTCCCTGACTACTCTATTTAAAATAGTATCCCTTGCGATCCCTGTTCCCTTTCTTATCCTACTTTAATTTTTGGTATAACATGTTTTACCACCTAATACATATTTAATTTTCTGTCTATTTATTGTCCACATCTCTGCTACCAAGAGAGCAATGACTCTGTCTAGTTCACTGCTGTGTCTGCAGTTCCTACAACAGTGCCTGGCATACAGAAGGTGCTCAGTAAACATTTGCTGAATAAACGAGGCATGTTATACTTTAGTCATCTTTAAGACTCAGTTTAGATGTCACCTTATGTGAGGCCTTCCCCCGGGCAGACAGGATTTATTACTGCTTTTGTGGTGCTCCCCTTCTACTTAATATACATTTTTATTGTAACATTATTAGTAATAATGTTACTAATAGTAAATATCAATAGTTATTTACTTTATGTCTCTGTCTCTCTAACTAGAGTTAGAGTGTGAGGTTGTTAAGGGCATGCATGTAGGAGTTATCAAGCCTGGAACATAACAGAACCCTGACTGATAACAGTACTCAATAACGGTGCTGAATGAGTGAATGAATTCTTACGTTTATAATTCTGAGACTAAAGCCAATTTAATTCCAGTTTAAAAATGAAAAACTTGACCCTCCCAGGTACCTCTTTTCCTTCTTGTACTAGAACAAGGCCCTTAAACGCTTCTTCCTAGATGAGGGTAGCACCATGAGACTACATCCAACTCAACACTACAGGTTATAGATATGACCTTGAAGCAATGGTGAGGGAAAAGAAGGATCAGGAAATCCATTGCCATCTCTACAGGCTGTGTATTTGATTATATATCTGTTGTCTATATCTCTACTGTAACCTCTGCTAGTCTGTGTGCTGGCTAAGGGCAGGGTCCTTGTCTGTCTTGTTCACTGCTAGATCTTCAAGCACCTGCAAGTGTATCTGATACACAGTGGGAAGTCAAGAAATATTTGTTTCATGTTAAATGAATCTCTGTAGTATTAATGGTGACAAGACATCTATAACTGCCTTGAATTCGATTTTAAGATGAAAGTCTATGAAAAACAACTTATAATATACAGAATTTTACCTAAGAATAATTTTGCTGGTATCTACCTATTCTTTCCAGGTATACTTACATGCTATTTTTTTTTCAAAATCACAAACCACCCAGTGTCTGCTAAACAGAATGAAAGGTGGATCACAAAGAAGGATAAAGGAGAGAGAGAGTAATTACATATGGTAAGGCCACAGACTGAAAACAGCCCATTGACATAAGAGAACCATACAGAAAAGGTTCATTAGTTGTTTAGAAACAATACTGGAGCAAAGATGTTTTTAATGAATTGGAAGAAAGGTGAGTTCAAATGAATTTAAGCAAAGCTTTATTATACTTACATTGCATTAAAACATAGTGGCTAAAACATTTACTAAGCTAAAAAGTAAGGCTATATTAACTTGATGGGTTTTAAAATTTACTTGGATGCTCTCACTTAAGGCTTTCCTTGTAGTTGGTCAGATCTCATCTGCCAACGTGTATATCTCCCGGTTTCTGTATATATGCGGTCACAAAGAAAAGGTCATATTCTTAAGGGAAGTCTTGCTATCTCCTTAAAAGTATATTTAATGTGTTATGGAAAGGGGGTGGTCAGGGAAAATAAACAGGAGCATATTTGGTTGGAACAGAAATAGAGATCAGAGGAAGGCAGCTGATGGGAATGCCCAAGACAACGAGTGCCGTTTAGGCTGGGGAGCTTGAAAGGCTAATCCATCACCTTCAACAAATACGGGGACCTCTTAGTAAGTGATTAGATTACAATGTAAGAATCAGGCCAGTCTTATCCATAGGGAATTACAAAGTACGGATAAGAAACACATGGTCCCAGGCCCCCATATATTTATAATCTAAATGGAGAGAAGAAAAACTGTCAGGAGAGCAGGACAGATACATGCTCCCAAAGAGAAGTTAAGAGTTTTCTATTATTAGGATATTTGGATTAAGAGTGGTTTTCTGAAAGAGTTGTTTTGCACAGAAATGCATAAAAGTATCAGGATTTGTGTTACTAGGCTCTCCTTAAGTATTCCCTATTCAAAGAAGGCAAAACCAACTGCCAAGATTCACTGATGGTGAGAAGCAGGAAGCTGTGGAGGCAGAGTTAATAACAAACATCCTCGGAGGGCTAGGTTCAAGTTTCACCTCTTTGGGAAGCCTTGCCCCCATACTCTGGACCACAGATCTCCCTCCTCTTTGAACTTACTGCCTTTTCCACTCAAGATACATTTGCTGCTGTAAACAGTCAGCAGGAGTTTCATGTCTTAGCTCTCCAGCTAGGAGACATGGAACCTCCCAAATGGATATCATAGATGCCATTTATTTTGTATTTAAGCCAAACAATATGTTAATGCATGAATTATCCACACAGCTCTGTTTTCATGTTAGTCCATGAAAACATCTGCAGGTGAGGGCGATCTGCCTTTGACTTATGTCTTTCTGTTGGTGAGTTATTTCATTGGCTAGGGTGATCCTTGCTTCATCATTTCTCCAAATGCATCTCTCCCAAAGCTGCTCATGCTCCAGATAGAGAACAACAGGGCTTTGTTCAAGGGTCTATGAGAAGTCCCACATATCTAGTAGTCTCAACAAAAAAAAAAGAAAAAGAAAAAGAAAAAAACCCCAAAAGTTTCTGAGTGCAATTAAAACAATAGAGCGGACCAGAAGATCTAAAAATGATATCCAAGCCAGAGAGGGCAAGGGACACTAGATGGTGCTGACCTTTTTTGTCTTCCCCACTCTGTAAGTGTCCTAGTAAGTTAGCACTGACCAAGCATTGTGGTGTAAAGGCATTGCCACTCAGCGAGGCAAGTGTAGGACCCCAAGAATCATATTAGTCAAGGAGCAAGAAAAAGGCAAAGGCAGGAGACAAAATTCAGAGATCAGTTGCTGGGAAGTGCCTCTCTGGAACTAGGAAGTAAAGTCATGAATCCAGAAAAATTCTGGCAGCCGAGTTCTTTAAGGAAAGATGCCTCCCACCTCATAGTGAGAGAGTGAACACTACACTTCGCAACAATTTAGTTCATTGGAAAATACACTGAAATGATCAAACTGTCATGCTTTATGTGGATCTTTAAGTACTCAACTATATAAGACAAAGGGCGACATCAAAGATAAGTTAGGCAATTAACAAAAACTGATAAAGTACATATAATAAGAACATTAAAGTTGTAACTACATGGAAAAAGAGCTAATCAAATGAATGTAGATACTAAATAGGATCATTTATTGCTCTGTGAGATAATTTTCATAATAGATAACAATAGCACTTTTCTACACAGGAGATAACAGAAGATGGGCAAAAGGACAGCTATTTGTGAATACAGTAATATAAGATGCTTTTACTCTTATAAAACATGTAGAGAAAAGCTAGAATGCAGTAGTGCTGCTGACATAGAATTTCCTTGACTTCCTTAACTTCAGATTGCGATTATGAAGGACTTTTTCGTCATTACTTCTTTTTGTTGTTGTTCGTTTTAGTATTTAAAAAAAAATGGCTCTGCTGTGATGTAATTGCTGCTTAGAAATAAATGCTCACGACACAGTATGACACAACTACACAGTCAGAGGCTACAAAGAGATTTTGAGTATACAGAGAAAAGGCCCTCCGTTTTATTTTGCAGATCTGAGATATTCATGAGCTATGAGATTCCTGTGCTATAAACTAATATTAAGTATAAAAACCCTATAGCCTTCACTGGAAGCCTTAAAGAATTTTAAATATCTGTATAAGGCAAGAAAAATAGTTGAGCTGAGTAGGGCTGAGTTGAAAGGCACTATGGTGATGAGTCAGGTATATTCACATACAGTCAAAGATAGATACAGTTCAAGGTTCTTGTTATGCCAAGCATGATTTAAACAAACTTTTTAGCTGAGTTTGCCCTTGTTACAGAAGAAAAGCTTTAAGGATGTTCTTGCATTGATTACTCTAGTCAGGGTGTAGTCACTGTCTTCTACATTCAAATTTTCACTATGCTTTCATTTTAGAGCAGGAGATGCAAAACTGGCTTAACAAAAAATTTTCTATTACAATGCACAGTAAAATACACTAACAGAAATGACAGCTTATGACCAGTGAAACCAGTAATTCTGGATGTGACATGGGATCAAAGAAGTAGGTGAGAACTCGAATAGAATATCTGCTTACTACTACTTACTTTAGCAGATAACTCTTTTAGGTGCTGTGAGAATTATTGTTTTTAAAAGAGATTCCAAATTAATTGACTTTGCTGCTATTGCCATCATAAGTTTGGGGCCTCTGTGGATTTTTCTGGAATCTCTTTAAGAGACGATGAACCTTTTTTTTGAAAAATCAGGTAACATTAAATGCAGTAATGACCATGGAAAATTCAAGAGGTAGTACCAGACTAAAAATGATAAGCAGAATGTACCCAAATATGTAGATTAAAACTCCCTTCAACATTTTAAACCTGACAAAGCTTTAAACAGTATTCAGTCAGCTTATTAAACTAAATCTCCTTCCAGAGTCACCTCACCGTAATTCCAAAGGTCTTAAAGAGAATCAACCAGGTTGTCAGCCTCTCTTTTGAGCAAAAGACTCAGGCCCAAATCAAAATTTAACTGACTAGAGTCCATTGTTCAAGCTGCCAGTAGCCTGATTTTCAATCTATATGTGTGCAGAAAATATCAGGCAGATGAAGGTTTCATCTTTTGAAAGCCTCAGAACTTTAGGAAGTAATTATATCAAACTAACTGTGAATGGAAAATTGAAAGCAAAATTTCTATTATCACTATTTATTCATGTAAATTTTACTCTTTTTTGAATATTCAACTATACATCTACATGGCTCAAGAAATGCAAAAGTATATACAGTGAAAATGCACAGCATGTAGTTTTAATTTTTATTTTGTTGCCAATCATGGCATCATTGGCAAATGTTAATATGGTCAACTGTCAGCTAGGATTTTATGTTTTACTCATATAGAATTTTGTGCAATAATTTGAATTCAAGAAAGATATTGGTCTTTTATGATTGACAGAAATATAGATGAAACATAAGGAAGAAACCAATAAATTTAAAGAAGTTTCTCTTAAGGATATATTTTAGGGCAGGTATCATTTTGAAAAAAAGGCAATGTATTAAAGAACTGATAGGCTTTCAGGGGTTGAAGGAGAGTATGGAAAGATAAGATATTAGCAGGAAGAGGAATAAAAGAAAGGGTTAGCATGGAATTAAAGTGGAAGATTTTGGAGAATGAAGAAATAGGATAGAATATTGAAGAATAGTAAAATGAAGAGTTTAAAAACTTCTTTTGTAGAAGATATAGTAGGAGGCTCTGAGGATAGCCCTATGACAAGACATGACTAGAATTAGGACTTAGATAATCTAGAAATACAAAGACAGAAGCAGGAGAGAAATGACAAGGATTTTGAATTCTCAAATACTGAAAAGCAATGAACAATTTCCCTGAAACTATAGTACATGACTTGCTGGACAAAATAATTGCCAGTAATAAAAGCAACTACAGGAAGTCCTTGCTTTGCATAGTAGTGTGGGACAATAACAATGACCACCACAAGCTGAAATCATGCAAAATGATAATAATCAGTAAGAAAAATCATGATTGTTTTGTGATCATTAAAATTTTTTTGTCAAAATGTCAAAAAGCCTCTATTGTCAGTTAAAAATGAATAAGGGAATGAAAAAATAGTAAAACTAATTTTATTTAGTACACTATAATTTAAAACATTAGAAACAATGAGAATTAAAGTGCTTTATTCCTTCGTACAAAACTTAAAGTAGATTGATCAGTGCTTGCTGCCTTCTCATCATAAAACTTATGATATATTCAAGCTTATCTTTTCTAGGACTGGGCAAAATGTCACACTCCTAAGTTTGGATCAGCTTCCAACATATCCTTTGCACTTTCAATGTTGTGAAATATCTCTGGGAGTTCATTTAATGTGAAAGATTTTTTTCTTTTGCTTTGTTATTTTTGCCAGTGTCACTTCCTCTGGGACATTTTCATCCTTTTTGCTATAAATACTTTCCAATTTCATTTCCAGTGTTTCATTTCTTTGTTGCATTGTCATTTTTGTTGCTCAAGTCTCTCCTTTGATAATCCATTTTTGTAAAAATGGGAGACAATGCTATCTGTGGTGCATGAACTAAAAACAGATTTTGAAAGAAGTGATATGATTGGCCATTGATCAGGATGTGTGTCTGTCATTCACACAGAGATTTGTGGACTGAAGGGCTAGTGGCAAAGTTTGTACTTAATGCAATTGCTCACAGTTAATACATTGTGTTACCTGAAATTTGAACCTTGTTTTCTAAGGGATTGATGTTACTTAAAGATGGCAACTAAAATTTGTGTATAGCAGAAGAGGCAATGACTGCCTGTAATTATAAAGTTCCTACTATATGCCAGGTACTATTTTAAGAGTTCTATATAGATTATTTCACTTAATTCTTAACATAACCCAATGAGATGGTACTAGTCTTACCCCATTTTATAGACAATGTGATTGTAGACATTCATTTGTCCACATTACATTAATAGAATTAACTCTCTCTATATTTGGGAGAAAACAAATTTCCCACAGTCATGACCAATCCAAAGATCTTCATGATAAAGGCTAGCTTAATACTGTTAAACAGTTTGAAGTGACAAGTAAATGACAAGTATATTCATTTGGAATACATATCTAGAGTAACAAGTCAGGTTCTTACAATAATGTGGAAGGAAGGTAAATACTTTCAGAAGATGCACTAACTCTCAGCATCAGAGTACTATTTAATAAAAAAGGATGTCAGTAAACTAAGAGTTACTTTTGGATTCTGAAGGAGCTCATAAGTCCTTAACCCACACTCCTCTAATTTTCACACCTACAAACTGAAGTCACTAATCAAACAAATTATGTCTCAAAATTTATCATTAAATAGAATTTTTTTTCCTTCAGAAAAGGACTATATTTTAAGAAATATAATAAAATAAAAATTTTAAGAATTACACCCTTGCTTTTAAAGCATTGATAATTAATTCCAAACATCTTGAGATTTTATAAATAAAAAAACATATTTGGCCTCTTTATAATGCCTAATGTTCACTTTCAATGTTCACTTTAGTACCAAAGAATATTCTTTTTAGATGTTTCAAGTCACCTCTTGAAAGCAATGCAGGTTCTCTGAAAAGGTACACTTTGGGAGTATTTTGGCCAGAAGACAGATATATCACTGGTGACTTGTCTGTCTTTCTGTGACATGACAGACAGGGCAGACTGACAGAGTGCACATGGGAGCAGACAGAGAATGCATGGGCAAGGGCAGACAGAGTGACCTTGTGGCTTGAGGGAGACACAAAGCCCGCAGTCAAAGGGAAGTGAAGGGCAAGTGGACCTGGGCAAAAAACAGTCAGGCAGTGGAAGACAGAGACACGTGGGCTAGGAGAGATGGATTCCAAAGGCTGGCAGGACAAAGAGTCTTCAGGTGTGGGAGCCTGGAAACCAGGGAGACACGGCAGACAAAAACCATAAGAACAGAGTCATACATAGAGACTAAACCAGATGAAAGAGGCAGTGTCAATAGACAGACACAGAGGGATCCATCAAGAGCAGTGACCCAGACAGAGCTGACAGAAGGTAGGAGAAATAGAGGACGAGTGAAGCAAAGATATCCATAGGAAGGGAGATCAAGACTTAACATATAATAAAAAGGATGAAAATGTCTATCTTAGGTACCACTGGTCTCCGAGTTACTTTTCCAACAATTATGGACATGGCATTAAGAGCCATTAGACACTGCTATGGAGGCAGTAAAAGTAATAGCTCTTCCATATTAACTCAAAATGTATAACTTAAAGTACAAATACAAATTCTTATTATTCAGTTATTTATTTTGGCATTCCAAAAATAATTAGTTTTAAATTTTTTTATCTTTAAAGAGAAGAGTTAGCTCAGTAAAAGGAGAGTTGCCACCTTTACTGCCAAATTCTTCGAAGGATTTTTCACAAATTGGTTCAGAAAGCTGTAAAAAACATGGTGGCTATTTTTAATTTTTTTAAAGTGAGATTTCTGGAGTGAGACTACTTACATTCACTGTGATTACAGGAAAACTGATAGTCAAAATCATAGAATATTGGACCTGATTAAATAAATATAATCAGGGCAAATGATTATATATTAGTAATCTACATAAATGAAGATCCTCTATTTAGATAGGTTACTTTAAATGATTCTCTAATTAATTATTTCCCCAGAGTTCTTGATTCCTGCTATTTGTAATGCATGATTCATTGAAAACACAGAGTTCTTGGTGGTCAACTTTTAGAATACTCATCCCTTATACTAATAATTATAAGGTGGGATAGAATAATGAATAGGGAAATGGATAAATAAAAGCTACAAGGCCAATTCTATAGTAATGAACAAAACTGCCTGAAAAGTGCTATTTAGTTAATGAAAAACATCACTTAAAGGATTAGAATATATATTTTTTGAATGGAAAGGAGACTGCTACAATTCTTGAGCAGTACATGTAGTCTAAAGTAGAACAGTATCGTATATGCTAATTTGCCTTGAATTTTAAGATCTGTTTACAAGGCAAAGTATAGATTTTTCAATTACCTAATTAATTTGAGCTGTGTCTAAAATCATATTAGACAACTCAACTTGTCTACACATTCTGAATGACACCACATTCTAGAGGCAATTACTGTTGATTTTTCATTGCTATCTTTAGAAGGAAATGATTATTCACTAACAAAGAAGAGATATAACTCCTTAGTGTCATTTCCTCGAGAGAGATTTTTAGCAATAAAGTGAAGTGACTAGTTAGCAAATATTCGGTAAATTCGCTCAGTTTACACAGTCAATCTGGACTATTTAAGCAAAGAAAAATTAGAGTTACATTAGCATGTTGTCTACAATTCAAATTCACCTTGTAATTGCTAAGTTTCCATTTCACATTTTGGTGAGGAAATGAGGCTTGGCAGTCAGGTGCATATTATCAATGGGCCCCTTCTTCTACATCCAAAACCGAGAAAGGCCCATCTAAGTAGAGGAACTTTGCAAGTTTAATTTTTAACCCAGAAGACATCTACTATGTTTGTTTGTTTTTTTCTTTTCCTTCCTATTCTCCGTTTTTTTTTTTTTTTTAAAAAAAAACACAAAACATTTACTATATACTATTATCTTTCTAATTGTGAGGTGCCTAATTTATATCAAGTGTTCTAGGTAAGCTGAAATAATAGAGAAAAGCCTATCTAAGCCATGGTAGGGCAAGAAAAAACATGATGCCTATAAGCTCTGGCAGGAAATGTTCTGATAGGTATCAGGCACCTAGACAACATAGTTGTAGTGCATCTAGGTTCAGGTCTTTCCTTAACAGCAGATACAAAAATGACACTGTAAGGCAGAGCTTTCCATCCTGTGTGCCTTGTGCAATGCAAAGAGGTCACAGGCATGTCAAGATCCCCTCACCCTTAAAGTCAGATAAGAGGGGTTTGGGGTAGCAAGATTCTGTCCATTCACCTGTGGACATAAGCAACCTTGTCTGTGAACCCCAGAGTGCTGTTCTAATGGTATACTTTCCTATATATGCCACTTCAGGAACAGTGGAATAACTTTAATAATTTGCTGGTAACTATGCTATATGGTTAATATAAGCCTTAGAGGATTGGTAAAGTGGGTTCCACAATTCATATCCTTTCCTCCACATACATATACTTCAGGTCCTCTCTTCCAGCTTTATATTTTCTCCTACACGGAGCTTAACATTCTAGTAGGGGAGACAGACAATAAACTTCTATGTAAACTTCTTATTTATCTTGTGTATTGTCTATTTCCCCTACTAGAATGTAAGCTCTGGGTGGGACCTTTATCTGTTGCAATTCACTGCTGTATCCCTGGCACGTGGAGCGATGTCTGATACACAGCGACAATTTACTGAGTGAAAGCATGAGTGAAGGCACACCCAGAGAGGCACCTAAGGGAGCACCTTTAGAGGGGGCAGGAAGTGTGTGAGCCTTAGCTGCAGCACTCACTCCATGTTGCCCCAGGTAGAACCAGTCTGGCAGAGTGACCTGTCATTCATGTGGCAGCCAAAGCAACCTGTGCCTACTTGTAAGAACTCAGAAGCTATCAATGCTCTGTAACCTTCCTTGCCTGTTTTCAAATATTTACATTTTCCTTTCCTTTCCCCTGGGGGAATGCCTCTTCATACACAGTCAAAAATTAACTTGGCTATTTTGGGGGAGCAGCATATCACCCAAGATTATTTCTAATTTTACCTTTACTGCTACCTCGGTGTCTCTTTCAGCTTTATTCTTTCTAGATTTCCATGTCCTATGAATATTTTTCTTTCAACTATTAATTTTCCTTTTGATTTTTCACCATATTTTCTATCTTTCTGTGGCTCTGATTTCTCTGTAATATTTTGTGATCCTTATCAATGTCACAGAGAACATAGGAAAACATAAATAAATAAGTTATTTGTTGTTTGTAAATAGAATTAGAGACAGGGAAATGGACAGAAGAATATGTCTGCAAATGCCTTTTTGCTTCTATAGGATTAAAATAATCAAGAATAGTTTTAAAATAAATGATAGCTTTGGATCCTGAAATACCTAATGAAAATATATAGTACCACATTATGTTTTTATAGTGTCTTCCTTCTAATGAACTCAAAATATCCCTCCAGAAACTATACAGATTGTCCTCAGAACATTTCTACAAGATAAGTTGGACATTTGCTATTGCCATTTTTTATAACAAATAAACAACCAGAATGAGGACTGTACAATAAACATAGATTCTGTTAACCTATTATATCATTCTCTGAATGACAGTATATTCAACTGGCTAATTTCCCCATTGGAAATACTATAAATAAAAAGAAATGGGGAATGAGTCACTTGCCATGGATTCAAGACTCCTCGAATATCTACCACTCACTATATGTTAATAATGAAAAAGTTATTATTTTAAGTATAGGTGCAACATTGCCAATGCTTAAGTGTGGAGTTGTCATGTATTAAGTTGCTTTAAGAAAAAAATATACAATATGAGTATGTTGAAAATAATTATTGGTGATATTTAAGTAAAATTTTATTGTGCCTACTTTTAAATTATATATATACACATTTAAAAAACATTCATAAAATGAAGTTATTATGACCAATAATACATTTTTTCTGGTAAGGGGAAACGGATTTAGATATATAGGAAAAACACAGTATAAATGAGTATGTATTTTTATAGATAATTTCATTGCTATTACTGTGAAATTTTCAGTCAAAAGATAAAAGTGTATTATAACAAGAAAAAAAAACTTTATAATTTAGCAAACTGGAAAAATAAAAAATCTTCATCAAATTGAATATACAGCCTGAATAGTCTTTACTATTAATAGTTTGTGATCAGTACGATGTTGAAATCTTTAAATAATATTAACATTTTAAATTGTAGATAATAGTATTGCTGATCAGAGAAATTCAGGTGTTTCAAAGGTGTTTCAACAACTTTTGGTTCTTTCTATTTGGATTTCTTGCCATCAGCAGCCTTTGATTTCTCCCTCCCACTACCCTACTTCTGGTAATGATACTTTCATTGTCCCAGTTATCTGCACTGAATCTTATCATTGCATCCTCCCTTTCCTGTAGCCTCCATATCCAATTTGTTTATCTACAAGGAGTGTGGATTCCGCCAACTATATTCGTTATAGCCCCCCATCCTCTCCATCCCCATTTGTGCCATCAACTCCACACACTGGCTTTATCGTCACAGCCTGATGAGAGTCCACTACCTCTGGCTTCTTGTTCCTTTCTTTTATGCATTTGCTAAATTGATCTTTGATCATGTCATACCCCTTGTTCAACATTTTTTAAGGACTATGAGGAAAACCACTAATTTTGGTTGAAAAAGTGTTAACTTTTTATAAGTAGACATGGAAAATGTGTGTGTTGGGGGAGTGCTGGCCTTAACTCTTTTATCATTTGATGGAACCTAATGTTGATGTCAGCTTCAAAAGGAAGAACCTACCCATCAGCAGAGAGCAAAAAACCAATTCTTTCTTTTCCAGTTTCTAGAAAAAAAGGTAGTTATGATGAGCTCTTGCTCACTGCTATGTCCCTAGCTTCTAGAACAGTGTCTGGAACACAGTAAATGCTCAATAAATATTTGAGAATAAATGAATATGTGCTGGGGAATGTATATGAAATTTCCTTCTGATTCAGGCAAAATTTGTTGGAACAAAAGCCCACAGGGAACAGAAAGTTTTAAAGAGTAGCATGTTCTGTCCTGAAAAAGAAACTGGTCAGAGAAGAGCTGAATAATTAAGATGACTTAGTATAAGATCAAATGAGTATAATAAAGAAGAAACTTAATATTTTCTTTCTGATAAATTGTACAGCAAAGTCTAATCAGTGGGGGAGTAAGGATAGGCATAAATTGTCTTCCATGAGCAATTTAGTGCCTCTTTAGAAAGAGTTGCTCTTGAATGCCAAGGTATCAGAGCTAAGATGAGCCTTACAATGCTTTAGTCTCAAGAAAAGGTTAAAGTTGTTTCTTCTTAGATTTGTGTGACCACCAGAGTTGAAGTTTAAGCCTGTTGTGTTAATTATCTACTGCTGTGGAACAAATCACCCCAGAACTTGGCAGCTTAAAACAATATACATTTATCATGTCACAGTTTTTGTGGGTCAGAAATCTGAACAGAGCTTAGCTGAGTCACTGTAGCTTAGGGTCTCTCACAAGGCCAGTCAAGGTGTTGGCTGGGTTTTCAGTCATCTCCAGGCTCAACTGGGGGAGAATCCTCTTCTAAGGTCACTCACCTGGCTCATGGCAGACCTCAGGCCCTCACCAGCTCTTGGCCAGAGATACTAGTTCCTTGTCATGTGGGCTTCTCCACAGAGCTGCTCACAGCATGGCAGCTGCCTTCCATCAGAGTGAGCAAGTGAGAGAAGAGAGGGCCTGAGGTCACCAACATTCACTGGTCTTACCATGTTCCCTGTCACCTTTAAGCAGCACACTTGACAGAATGGTGGAATGGCCTTTTGAGGACTCAGTTATGGTGCCTGCTAGGACACAACACTTTGTGGGGCTGGGACAATGTCCTCTTGAATATGGAATTTGCTCTAAATCATCATTTAATATATGTTGCTGTTATCCCAGATCAGGGAAGAAAGGGGTAGAAAATGGGACTGCCTTCTCTTCTTGTTCCCCTTAGTGATCCACTAGTAAAACTGTTAATTCCCATTCCCATGACTTTAGGGTCCGCTGGATTAAAAGGTCTTAGTTCCAAAGGGAAAAATGTTTCCATCAGGTCACACAATGATGATTCCTTTGAACTGGAAGTTGAGAATGCCATCTTGCCACTTTGGGCAAGTGGATAAACAGGAAGTGGATGTCCTGGATGGGTGACGGATCCTGATTTCCAAGGAAAAACTGAGTTTACCACTACAGGATGGGGGTAATCAGGAGTATGTCTCACACACAGGAAACATTCTAGGGTGCCTGAAAGTACTTCCTCTAATTGCAGCCAGTAGCACATTGTTATACTTACTTCAGCCAGGACTGCTGATGGCCCAGACTCTTCAAGAATGAAGATGTGGGTCATTTCTCCAGGCAAAGAATCTTGACCAGCTAAGACCAACTAAGGTGCTTGCTGAGAGTAAAAGGAATACAGACATACCTTGTTTTATTGTGCTTCACTTTATTGCATCTGGCAGATACTGTGTTTTTTTACAAATTGAAGTTTTATGGTGACTTTGCATCAGGCAAGCCTATCGGTACCATTTTTCCAACAGTATGCACTTACTTCATGTCTCTCTGTCACATTTTGGTAATTCTCCCAATATTTCAAACCTTTTTGTTATTATCACAACTGTTATGGTGATCTACGATCAGTTATCTTTGATGTTACTATTGTTAACTGTTTTGGGGTGCCATGAACTGCATCCATAGAAGATAGCAGACTTAATCAACACATGTGTGTGTTCTGACTGCTTCACTGACTGGCTATTCTTCATCTCTCTCCCTCCTCAGGCCTCTCTGTTCCCTGAGACACAACAATATTAAAATGCAGCCAATTAAGAATCCTATAATGGTCTCCAAGTGTTCAAGTGAAAAGAACAATATCATGTTTCTCATTATAAATCAAAAACTAAAAATTATTGAGCTTAAATGAGGAAGGTATATCAAAAGCAGAGAAAGGCCAGAAGCTAGGCCTCTTGAGCCAAAAAGTTAGGCAAATTGTGAATGCAAAGGAAAGGTTCTTGAAGGAAATTAAAAGTGCTACTCCACTGAATGCACTGATAAGAAACCAAAACAGTGTTATTGCTGATATGGAGAAAGTTTGAGTGGTCTGGACAGAAACTCAAACCAGCCACCACATTTCCTTAAACCAAAGCCTAATCCAGAACAAGGTCCTCACTCTTTTTAATTCTATGAAGGCTGAGAGAGGTGAGGAAGCTGCAGAAGAAGAGTTTGAAGTGAGCAGAGGTTGGTCATGAGGTTTAAGAAAAGAAGCTATTTCCAGAGCATACAAGTGCAAGGGGAAGCAGCAAGTGCTGATGGAGAAGCTGCAGGAAGTTATCCAGAAGATCTAGGTAAGATCGTTGATGAAGGTGGCCACACTAAACAACAGATTTTCAATGTAGATAATAGTTTTCTATTGGAAGAAGATGCCATCTAGGACTTTTACAACTAGAGAGGAGAAATCAATACTTGGCTTCAAAGTTTCAAATGACTCTCTTGTTAGGGGCTAATGCAGTTGGTGACTTGAAATTGAAGCCAATGCTCATTTATTGTTCCAGAAATCCTAGGGCCCTTAAAAATTATGCTAAATCTACTCTGACTGTGCCCTATAAATAGAACAACAAAGCCTGGATGATAGCACATCTGTTCACATCATGGCTTTTACTGAATATTTTAAGCCCATTGTTGAGACCTATCACTTGGGAAAAAAGATTCCTTTCAAAATATTACTGATCATTGAAAGTGCACCTGGTTACCCAAGAGCTGTGATGGAGATGTACAAGATTCATATTGTTACCATGCCTGCTAAAACAACATCCATTCTGATCAAGGAGTAATTTCAACTTTCACATCTTATTATTTAAGAAATAAATTTTGTAAGGCTATAGCTACGGATATGGCAAAGTAAATTGAAATCCTTCTGGAAAGATTTCACCATTTTAGATGTCATTAAGAACATTTATGATTCACAGAAGACAGTTAAAATATCAACACAAACAGGAGTTTGGATGAAGTTGATTCTAACCCTCATGGATGACTTTGAGGGGTTCAAGACTTCAGTGGAGGAAGTAACTGCTGATGTGGTGTAAAGGGCAAGAGAATTAGAAGTGGAGCCTGAAGACGTGACTGAATTGCTGCAATGTTATGATAAAATTTGAGTGGATGAGGAATTGTTACTTAGGGATGAGCAAATACATTGCTTTCTTGATACAGAATCTACTCCTAGTGAAGATTTTGCAAACATGGCTGAAATGACCATAAAGGATTTAGAATATTGTGTAAACTAGTTGATAAAGTGGTAGCAGGGTTCAAGACGACTGACTTTAATTTTGAAAGAAGTTCTACTGTGGTAAAATGCTATCAAACAGTATCACATGCTACAGGGAAATCTTTTGTGAAAGGAAGAGTCAATTGATATCGCAAACTTTATTGTTGTCTTACTTAAAAAACTGCCACAGCCCCTCTCAACCTTTAGCAATCACCACCTTGATCAGTCAGCAGCCAATAACATTAAGGCAAGACCCTCCATCATCAAAAAGATTCTCTGAAGGTTCAGATGATCTTTAGCATTTTTTAGCAATAAAGTATTTTTAAGTTAAGATACGTACATTTTTTTAGACATAATGCTTTACACACTTATAGACTATAGTACAGTGTAAACATAACTTTTATTAATATCTATGCTGGGAAACCAAATTTTCTTGCCGCACTTTATTTCGATATTCACCTTATTGAGGTGGTCTGGAACTGAACCCACAATATCTCTGAGGTATGCCTATACTGAATGGGTAGTAGAAGAAGGTAGCTATAAATATCAGCTGCAACTACATGACCAGTTGCAAAAACAAAAAATTCAGAAGTATTTGTTTATTTTGATATGAATATTTTTGTATATGTACATATAAACTCAATATTTTTGTTTTTCTCTCTTCTCTTATTCCCTTATCATCAAATATAACATGTATTGGAACTACATGTTACATTAGCTGTATTTCTCTATTTAAATTATAGGACACCAATTGTAAGAAGAATGAATATCAGCAAAGTGCAATTAGGGGACTTTGTACCCTCTGCTGGAGAAAGGGTTAATGTGTTTTTGGTTGTTCATGGGATAGCTGTTACATGTTTGGTGGAAACATGACTTTATTAGTGTCACTGTTTGGAGATTAAGTCTGTTTTGAAGAGATGTATACGAGTGCCAGCTTGTAAGATGTGGGCCGTGGTGGCTTTTTTAATGTGTCATTTTGTCTAGGTTGAACTACATTTCCCAGAATTCCTTGTCCTGTCTATTTCTGGTTAGGACAGTATACAAGGAAGGTGTTTTTGTTGTTGTTGTTGTTTGTTTATTTGTTTTTTAAATGTGAAGTGTTAAAGTGAAGCAGCAGCCATTTGTAGCTCACTCATGTTGTCACTTATCTGCTGGCTCACCTTGAGGCAACAGGGAGGACTGTATTTGGTCCAGTTTGCCCTGGATTCTCTTTCAACATCTTTGATTCCTAAAGCACGACAAAGGGCAGGATTCTCCAGGACACCCACACCACAAAAAGACAGCGGCAACAAGAATTGACAATGGGTTTAAGGCTACCTTCATGGACTCTAGCTCTTGCTTATGGGTTCTAGCTCATTCTTGTGCTCTTTGCCACTTTATATCCCTCTTCCCTTACCAACTGTCTGCTCTGTGAACTCAAGCTCCATCATCACATACAAACTCAACATCCTTACAGAGATCACCTAACCAGCTCTGGCCAAATCCTAGTAACAAATTATTTCATATATATATATATATGCATTCTATCTTCATTATTTGTGGATTCTATATTTGCAAATTCACCTACTCAATAAAATACATTTGTAAACTCCAAATCAACACTCATGGCACTTTTGCAGTCATTTTCAGACATGCACATGTGCAGAGTGGTGAAAAATTTGAGTCACCTGTTCCTAGCTAAGGTTGAACAAGGCCATGCTCTGCCTTTCTGTTTCAGCTCTCTCACTGTAAACAGGTGTCCTTTTCATAGACTATTTAGTGCCATGTTTTTCTCATTTTTGTGCTTTTGTTGGTGAATTCTCTGTTTAAAATGGCCCTCAAATATAGTAGTGAAGAGCTGTCTAGTGTTCCTAGGCACAAGAAAGCTGTGGTGTATCTTATGGAGAAAATATGTGTTAGATAAGCTTTGTTCAGGCATGACTTACAGTGCTGGTCAGGTTACATATTGACTGGTTGACAAAAATGTGAGCAGAGGCTCACAGGAACCTAACCTTATATTTCACCTAGGAGAATATTTGCTAATTCAGTGCTCTCAGTTACTTCGTTGAATATAGCTACCATAAATAATGATTGTATATTATATATGTATATACACAGATGTATGTGATATATATATATTATAGCATATATATCTTCTAGTGGTTCTGTTTCTCTGATTGAACCTTTACTGATACACCTATAAAATTTAGCTATAATGCTAGTGAAACTCAGTTGAAGTTTATATATTAATGATAGTGACATTTAGTTATAATGATAGTTCTTTATCTAGAATCTGAACTATTCTCCAAATTATTTCCTTTAAATATGTAAACATATCTCCAACTCTAAGTACTTAGTGATTAGCTATCACCTATGGTTGTAGTCTGCGTTCCAAACTTCTGCTCATTCTCCAGCATCCATGGCTACAGCATGCCCATTTCAGTTATTAGTCATAACTAGATGCCACTGCTCACTTGTTTGGGAACTGTGAAAAGCCAAAACCAGAAAGCTACAACAAATGTCACCCTCTCTACTTACCTAGAGACTCAAATACAAACCCTGTATGCTGGAAATCAGTGCTATGCTTAAACTTTCTAGAGCCCAGCTGCTTCCTGAGATGCTCACATCTTGACCCATTCCCTTTCAACAGACAGGCCAGTCTTGCCTTTGTTCCCTGTGAACATCTTTAGATCCATTCCAGAGCTTGCTCCCTAAATTGCTTTGTTTCTTTTGCCTAGGATGTCATCATGTATGCTTTCTCACAGTCTAAATCTAACACAAGGTCCAACTCAACTCTGCATGAAAAAATTTTTCTCTAAAAGCCACAAACCAGCCTTGACTGCTTGTCACATCATTGAGTTGGTACTCAACTGGAGACAAGTATTCTGTGAAAGATCCTGTATGGCTACCCAGTCCTTGTCTTTTAGGTATTTAGGTATACAGGTCTCATCTCCATAAGCTTCAACAGCAACTATCTAAATTACTCTTGAATTGTTTCATCATCTTACTGAGTTTGTTAGTAAGCATTTTAGGCTATAATTACAATTTTATCATAATTAACAAATTGGGGTAGTGGATTAGACCCATGCAGTATGTTACCAATAATTAGTTCAACAATTCAAGGCTGAACAACAGAGTTAATTCACAAAATAAATTTCTACGTTACACTATTATACTGTTCATCTTAAAAAAAAACCATACATCTCCCATCAAACACATACCTGCTGAGACCCGGGGGCAGTCAGGTAGCATGGACTCCACTGATGTGTCCAACGGTTCTGAGCTAGAGACCCAATTACAACAGTTCTGCAATGTAATAGAGACAATATTGTTGAAACATAATTTAAGCTAAGACCAAAGTTTTAGGCTGAAGAGATTAATTTATCCTATAAAATCAACCACTAGAAGTGTATTAAATTTACATATAATAAACTTTAAATGTTTTTTTTTTCCTTATGTAAACAGTCAATAATTATTCATGACTAAAATGAATATGGAAAAAAGTTTGTCTTACAACAACTCAATAGCAAATCATCTGTGCTGATATTTTTTAAAAAAGTGTAATCCTTCTGTGAACCATGATACAACGTATTTCCAAGAGAAGTTTAGATGGCCAAACAGTAAGCAAACAAAGGGATCCTAACTAAGGGAAAATGAAAAAGCGATCCATTTTTAACTTTTAGATTAAAATAAATACTAATATGAACATGGAAAGACTAGCTAATTTCTAAATTATATTCTTTGTGTAATACCAGAAGAAATAAATTTTGCATTTACTCCTCAAAATCTGGCCTATATACAAATGCTACTGTTTAATTTTTACTTTGACTTGCTTCAGTGAAGGTTGTACCAAAGTAGTTATAAAGGAACACAACCTGGTGAATTGTAGCTGTGTGTCTAAGGACACAAAGCCTTCAATATTAAGATCAGCCTGCAAGGTACAACTTAGACAAATGAAATAAAAATAATCTATATTTCTTCTATACATTTTAAGTCTGTATTTGAAGTTTGGCTTTAAAAATGTGATTAACGTCATGTGGTTTCTAAAAAATTTCTCAACACACACACACACACACACACACACACACACACACACACACACACACAGAATTTCCAGACAGATTTTATTTTAAAAGAAATCATCCTATCAATCATGTTGGAAAAATCGGTGATTGCTATTCTGGTAAACAAGCATGTATTGTGTATTTTTTAGATGCTTGCTGCCTTGGTTGTGCACCATGGAATCCGTCCTCACTGTGGAAAGATCCTTGACTGGTAGATCAAGTGTCTTATTGTATTTCCTTAATTCATTCTGTCTGGAAGAAGATGTCAGCTGTGTTGCAGTGAGGGGAGAATTTCAAAGGCCCCAGTCCCCACCAATAAAGGCCGAGGAATGGCTTTTGAATAGATTTGTCAAGGCAACCCTACTGTTCTGGGACCAGGGAGAGCAGGAATAACATAAAGGAAGGGTTGCTGTATGAGATTAGAAAGTGAAGTTCACAAAGCATGGCAGATTTTTGTAAGAAACAGTAGATCAATGAAACTATTGAACTGTGTAGGGAAAAAAACATGAAAACAAACACAACGTCTAGTAATGTTCTTAAATGCTTTCTCTCGTTTTACATTTAAAATGGATGAAATATTAGTATTTTTCATGTATTACAAAAGCTTGATGGTTTAAAGTGGATACATATTTTATAACGTGCACTCCTAATCTTAATTAGCAGCTGAATGCAAAATTATACAATGTGAGAGTAGAAATTATAAAAGAAATAGGGTTTTAGGAGATATTTCATACATTTGAAATAAGTAAAATTAATATTACCATTGATAGAATACCACATCAGAGAGTTCTAGATAATGCAGAAGATTAGCACACAATTAGCCAGCTTTTATATACAATGTGACACTTGCTTGTAAGAAATAAGTATTCTCCAAAGCAGTGTCAAGATATGTAAATGGATGATTTGTTTTATCATTCAGCACAGCCCCTAATAAATTCAAAAATCATGACTTCTATAGGTACTAAAAATAGGCTTCCAATGATACAGGGAGATAGCTTCAATGAAGAATGACTTTCTCTTTCTCTCTCTTTTTCTTAAACAATTCAGTCTTTTCAATGACAGCAATTAGCACTACCGACAGACAGGCAGCGATTAGGTACTGTATGTATTTTAATTATTATTCATCCTACTAGTAATTCCAAATCTGATGAAAGTCAGCTATTACCCAGGTGATGATAAGTCGGTCTTCATACTGCTCACCTATACTTCACATATGTGAAACTATGTCTTATAGGATTTTCTAGATTAATAAAAGTGATGGTACATCACAACGTGCAGGTGATTAATCACTTTGCGATTTGTTACTGACTTTAAAAAGCTGAACAAAATGAACTTTTATCCAGTTTGCCCAGTTCACCTTTAATTCAAACACTTAAAGCAAAACATAGGTTGACATTTTATGATTCTGAAATTTCAGTTTTTATCTAGGCACATGTATAATGCTTTGACCTCTCATAAAAATCAGATAGACATTAAACATCCTATAGCTAAAGTGAATATGTCCAAAAGTTCTGTGGAATGACAAAGTACCTGTGTAGCATTGTAAAGATATGATATTGTAATTTCAAAGAGTATAAACGTGCATGTATGTGTATGTGGCATTTTAACCCTACTAGGTAAAGTATATAATAGAGTATAATGAAAAACATAAACATATTGGAAAATGTAGGTGAAGAAAGACATATGGCCATTACATATGAATTTGATCTGTTTGAAATTCCACCTTATCACATCTAACTCCCTATTCTGAAATGTTTCTATAGTTTAGAGACCAAATCTCTTTCACTGTTTTTCTACTGTATATCTACCCCACTTTTCAATGCCCTAATCTGTCCTCTACCCCAGTTTTTCAGTTCAGATGAACACTACTAATGTGTCCTGCATGGTGACACAGGTAGCCCACTAGGAAAGCCCTGCCTAAATCCAAAACACGCTAGAGTGTGTTAGCAGTCCCTGGGATCTTAGGTGCCCTGAATAGGCAATAAGGCATGTTGGACTAGAGGTGCCAACAGTGCCATGCTTGGGTCTCAGATGCAGCCCCCCTTGTCCCAACAAACTAATATAGACGAAGAAGCACTTGGCCAGAGCAGGCAGATTGACACGGATCATTTAACTTGTGTTTCTCTGGGTCTGAAGGAACAAGAGAAAAATAGGCGATATAGTGAGTGTATCTTAAAGTTAAGTGTTTTCAATATAAAAGTTTTTTACTCTGAGATTATAACTCTACAGATTTCTGTGCTTGTAAATTTTCCTCTTTGTAAACTTCAAAAGTTTGGGAACTATTTATGTGGACTAGAAATTTCTATAGACCACAGTGCTGAGTGATTCCCTTTTTGAAAAAAAAATATTTTTATTATTATTGTTTTTATAGGGATATCACTATGTTGCTTGCCCAGGCTGTATTTGAACTCCTAGGCTCAAGCAATCCTTCCACCTCAGCCTCCCGAGTAGCTGGGATTACAGGCATGTACCACTATGTCTGGCTAAGTGGCTTTCTCTGACATTTGAACCTAGGGTTGACAATATTTCAGAGTAGATATGAAATGAATTAATTTTTTAATAAAAAGGTTAGAATTTAGTATATTTAAAGAGAAAAGGAGGTAGTAGCTATTCAAAGTGTTTGGAGGTATTTGGAGATGCTTGTTGCCTTGATTGAGTCTAGATTTTATTCATTTTTGTTGTATTTTTCTGAGTTTTTAATCACCATTGTCTTAGAAGTTGATCTTTATACCATAGAAAGTTTTGTGTGCTCAGACAAGTTGGTGTTTCTAGGGCCTACACTCACAGCTGACTGGTAACAAAAAAGGTTTACAACAATAATGTATAATCACACATCTGGCTTGGCTGGAGATTTGGCTTGGCCAGAGGTATGTCAGGAAACAACATTTGTCCTCTCACCCTTGACACTCCTGGAGTTTAGGTAAGAAGTGCCTCTTAAGAACTGCGTTGGGTTACTTTGTACCTCTCCTGGCTTAGCATCTATGCTTGGTCTTTTAGTTAGGAGTAGGTTTCATTTCACTTGGAGTACTTGCCAAAGGTAGTACTCTTTGACCTTCTTTCCTTAAAAAGAAACTGTTATTTAGAAGTCATACAAGTAATACAAGAATATATTCCTTAACCTTTGTTCTGTATGTTAAATCGGTTTAAAAAATAAGTCAGCTTTTTATAGTAAATACTTAATATCGATAACTTTATCACATTAATTTAAACATACTTACAAAACAAAAAACGATTTTACTGACTTTTAGTTTGATAGGAAAGACTAGGCAATTTGTACTGCTGTCTTACTTCCAAATTTTAAAGCAGAGTTTCGTAAAATAATGGAGTCAACCATCAAGAGAATAAAAGCACTGTGGCTTAGTCTGCATCCAGACTGTTATTTTTATAGACAACACTTCAGCTTAGGTAAGGTGTTTTTTTTTTTTTTTTTTTTTTTTGTGGGGGAGGGATATTTGCCAAATCTCAGTTTTTTTTTCTTGGCTGATTATGAATGAAGCTAGAGTAGTAGGTGGGCCGGGTACAGTGGCTTATGCCTGTAATCCTAGCACTCTGGGAGGCCCAGGGGGGCGGATTGCTCGAGGTCAGGAAATAGAAAGAAATTAATTGGCCAACTAATATATATAGAAAAAATTAGCTGGGCATGGTGGTGCATGCCTGTAGTCCCAGCTACTCGGGAAGCTGAGGCAGAAGGATTGCTTGAGCTCAGGAGTTTGAGGTTGCTGTAAGCTAGGCTGACACCACGGCACTCATTCTAGCCTGGGCAACAAAGTGAAACTCTGCCTCAAAAAAAAAAAAAAAAAAAAAAAAAAAAGAAATAGAGTAGTAGGTGGTAAGGAAGGGGGATGCTGAAGGACACAAAGGTGACCCTGCCACACCCTTCTCCCAACACCCATGCTCAGGACAGCAGCCCTTTCTATTTCCTGTAATCCAGACTTGTTTGTTCTTCATTATTTCAAGGAGTCTTGCAGAGTGGATAGAGACTAAGAAAAGAAAAAGAAAAGGTGAGGGAGTTTCATCCTGAGTATTGGGAAACACTGGACTGTCATCTTGCCAAACCACACTGAAATATTCTCTACCAGGGGTCACACATTTAGGTGGGTTCCTATAAAAATATATGTCAGAGACCTTTATAGCCTCCCTTTTGGTCTTGTTTTGGGGAAGAGCTCTGAACAGGGATAATTTCAAAGCTCCCTTAAGAATTATCTAATAATTTTATCACTGGGGTATTATAGTATTTTGCACAATAATATATCTCATTTGTTTATATAGTACCATTTGCTTTTCAAGAGGTTTTCTTCTTGATCATCACCTTTGACTATCACCATAGTTCATGAAATAGATGGAAGAGGAATAATCATCTCTAATTCACAAATATGAAATAGGCCTAAGAAGATAAGAGTGGTTTATCCAAGATTTTAAGTCTTAGGAATGTAGTTGGTACACGCTAGATCATTAATTACTGATTTACGTAGCCAGAATCATTATCAAAACTTAGTTCTGCTAAATGCTTGCCCTGAACTACTTCTGATATGTCATACTGCTTCCCTTTCATAAGATATTTTGAATATGCAAGTCATTCAGGAAATACAAGATGAATATAGTCCATGTGTTTTATATTATTTGGGAGTGAGAAGGTAACAATAATGATAGCTATGACTTACTGAACTTCTTTAAAATGCCAACAACTGTGCTATTTCTTTACATGTGTTATTTCCCAACCACACCTACAAGGTAGACATTATATTTTATAGATGAGAAAATTGAATCTCAAAGAGATTAAATAACTTGCCCAAGACTACACAGTTAGGTAAGTGATTGAGCTGGGGTTTTAATTTTGATAGGTCAGAATACAGTACTCTTCCTGCTGCTTCCCTGAGGCATAATTGAGGGAACTGGAAGAACTATCCAAGAACTAGGACATTTATAAAATTTTATAAAAGCTATGCTTGCAAAAAAATTAATGGTGGCCTTGATTAAATTATGATGAATTCAACTATTGCCTATTTTAGTCAGTTAGATGAAAACTGTACAGATTTTCTTATTTTTAAATCTTTGACCAGTTATTAATTTAGTTTGCCAAGTTTTTAAAAATACAAATGATACCTTGCATTTGTATATTAATAGTTTTCATATTATTTGAACAATTACAATCTTCCTTGAAGCTCACAACAAATGTTTGAGACAGCCACGACAAGCCCTATTATTATCCCATTTTATAAATGAAGAAACTGAGGTTTAGAGTAGTGATAGGACTGGCCAAAGTCACAGCTGTTAGGAGTTAGGATCAGCATCTGCATCTCTGACCTCTGAGTCTTAATCTATAGCTCTGTGTTGGCGGTGTTTAGGCTGTTACGGTAGAACACAAGGTCATAGAGAGAGACAAAGATGCCTTTTGGGATCCATTTAAGTAGCAAAACTGTACAGATTAATACAGTCTGATTTCTGAAGGGGACACCTAACCCAGACTTAGTTAGAAATCCTTAAAAAATAAATCTAAATCAATTTTGTTCTATTTGTCAACCTGGAATGAGACTTACATGAAAAACTTCCAATTAAAAAATGATAAACAGAATTTTTTTTAGTTTGGGCCAAATACCAAATTCCATATTGGTTATGTGTAGGGAAAAAAGTTACTAATGGCTCATTTATTACTACTTATATAATGCTGAGAGCTGTCTATGTATATATTTGGGCAGATAAATAGCATTAAAAAAGCATAGGCAAGAAATACATGAAATTCCCTCTTGGGCAAGTTTAGACCCCTGGAAAAGGAAATTAAGGATGTAGCTACACTGGGAAGGAGAAATATGGAAAGCAATGTGGTCAGAAAACGCCTGCAGAATAGATCTTTAAAAAACCCACCTTTATATGTTTACAGCATTATGAGGATTGGAATAGAAATATTTTGGACTTTTGCATGATAAAAGTATTTTTCCTAAGGTGGGGAAAATGACAGTGATAACAGATTGGTGATAGTATAACACTGCTATGGAATAATATAGCCTGATTTTTCTGTCTGCTCAAAACCATTTATAAATATTAACTCTTGGTCCATACAGTGCACCACGAGGGTAGGTAGAATTTACCCACCCCACAGTCCTACGGTGAGGGGTCAGCTGAAAAACCACTGGGGAGAAACCAGGAAGATCCACCAACTCATTCATGCTATATAAATGTAAGTAAATGACTTGACTAAACAATCACTACAGCATGAGGTAGCTGATGTCAACTGCTTATAATATCAGAAAGATAAATAAAAAGAAAAAAGAAAATTTCAGCTGGATATCTATAATAGGAATAAAAGAAATAATGGGCTGAACGTTTTTTTTAAAAAAATAATGCAAGTATGTTCAATGAATCCTTTTTTCTTTTCAGGTTCACCAGCCCTTAGGAAGTGTGAAAAGGAGCTTTCTTAGCCTGAAGCTGGACCATGGCCAACCCCATCACCCCCTACTCCCCAATTTCTCTTAGCTCGAGGGTCTGGCATAACACTATTTCAGCTTTTTACTTCTCCTCCCTTTACTGGCAGTAGTGAGCCAATCCACTTAAGAGTGGCCACCTCTCAAGAAGAAAAAGACAAGACCAAGTGTACATTATACTTCTTTCTTGTAATTAAGCAGTACCATGCTGGATAGCTAGTAGAAAGATTAAACACTGGGGAATAAAGAATCTCCTAACATCAAGACCTTCTTTAGCCAAAGTTACTACTGCATATTGTATGCATACATAGTATTCTACAGAAAGCCAAAAAGTGGAGAAAGGGGCTTTCAAAAAGTATTAGTTCTTCACAAAGGTTTTCTATTATTATTTTAAGCATGTCTAGTTTTTTCTATTTCCTCTCAATGTTCTGCTTCTACAAAGGGAGTTTGGGGATGGGAGGTGATATAAGTTGGTGGGGGCTCAAGATATAAAGGCTCACACCCATTCATCTCAGCACTGAAGAAAACCAAGTCTCACCTCTCTCATCCATTCTCGAATCGTTTTGCCAGCTTCTTGATGCCACACATTGTGAACAGAGTCTGTCAATGCCACAGCAGTTACCTTACTTTTTACATCTGCTTCTCGTTGAATCATCTGTGTTAAAAAAAGGAAAATAAAATATTGGCTGTAATTTTTTTTCCTACTGGTGAAGCCTGCTTAGTCATAGATAATAATAACATTATATTAAAAAATGAAAAAGCAATATGCATCTCTGGTTCAAAGTTACTCTTTTCTACACGGAACACATGCTCTATTCTTGTCCAGAGATGTGAAAAGGCCTAATATTTTCCTTTAAAAAGATAATACCACTTAAGTCTTAGAACTACGCAGCTCTATTATTTTCCATGTGGTTTGACAATTCAAGGATTAAAGGGATCACAGGGGAATCCCTGAGGGTTTCTTTTACAAGTTTCTTCTACCACTTCCTATTTCACTGCTTCAGGGAAGTTAGTGCCCGGGGTTCACTGTTAGCTACTTAGGACTAACTTCTACTAATTTTCAGTAGATGGCATATCAGTAAAGAAAAGATATCTTGCTTTGACTTCTCCCATTTAACCAGCCTGTAATTCCTTGGTGTTTTAAATACCCACAAAGATTCTTCTTGTTCAAAGACTATCAATATAATTTTGCTTTAATGTATTTCTTTATTTGGCAAACTGTTACATTTTATTTCTTTCTAACATTATTTCTATAAAATTAAGTGGCTTCTAAAAAACAAAAAGAGCCACTTGGCCCGAAGATACTGATTAACTCATCAATGGTCTGCCAGATAAAGACATTGGAAAATAAAAGTTTTACATGAAAAGAATTGAAAAGGTTTTAATCTGCTAAAACTACTGACTCTAATTTGTACAATATATAAGAAAGCTTAATAAAAAATTACAGTTAAAATATAATAAATAGTAGTATTGCATTTCATAATAATGTCCTATTTCTTTGCATCAAATGTCTTTTCTCCCTCTAAATTCTTCAACTGAAGAAAAAGAGCAATTTCTCTATCATTTGTTATTAATTTCTCTGAATTGTCTATAAAAAATATAATAGTGCACTTAGAAAAAAAGGGAGAATTCTGAATGGCAATGAGAGCCCATACAGAGAAAGAACACTGCAAGCCATGCTTCTGATACAAAATGATGCCTGTTAGCATTCTGAATTAAAAATTTCTCTTTCTCTTTTACATTTCTTTAAACCTTCCATGTGTACATCCGCTCTCAATGAACACTACCTAACGGGAATCTAATTGTCTGTTAATGTTGCCTCAGCAACATGTCCCCACCTTAAATCTTTGTGCCTGATGTTTTCTGCTCATATTATGTAAAAATCTTCCAAATTAACATCGTAATATTACTGCAGAAATTCACCTTGTAATACCAATAGTTTTAAAAGCATAAATAATATTCTAACTTAATACTTCACATTAATTATTAAGTAGTATGCTACTTTCTTCTAGATTTTATGTTACAAATAGATTCTCATTGGATCTCATTGGCACTAGAATATAAAATTTCAAACCAACATTAGATAATACAAAACAAAATTCCACAATAGTGAATTCATCTGGCTTATGAAGAAATTTTATATGTCCTTACTCATTTTCTAAACAGTAACACTTTTAGAAATCTAGAGCGATTGTTGCTGAAGTTACAAAACAAGAACATATTTTTCTGGTAGTCTAAGAATATGTCTGCATTTTAAAATATTTGACCTGGACTTTGTTGTGGTAGTTGTTAACATATGCAGAATTTTTTAAGATGGAGTCTAAAGACATTAAGTCTCAAGAGCCATTTGTGGAAATGAGATAAAATTAAGTAAATGACAAGGATGAGGAGTTAGTGCAAAAGTAGAAAATCTGGGGATTAAAATGCTACAAACTGGAAAAATACAGAGTTTTTAGATGGACTACTAAAGGAAAAGAAAATCTTTGGTCTGTCCTTCTGGCTGACATTTCATACAATGGATGTGATGATGTGCAACTTTTCTTCACATCACCCAAATCACAGTGGAGTCCAATATGGTACTCCCTTACACTGTAACAGTACTTTACAGTTTAAAAATCACTTTCATATTTTATCATTAGAGGTGGAGAATGGCCAAATTCTAGAAGATCTTAGTGAAGAACTGTTGACAAATGAACCCAGTAACAAAGAATCTCAAACATTTGACTGTTTAGGATTAGCAGGATTGTGAATCAGTGAAAATCTTAACGGTCTAATTTTTCAGACTCTACCTCTGTTTTAGCCTTGCTGCAGCCTAATTTAGTAGTCCCAGAACTACTTGCAACTACCATTTCTGTGTAAAGCCTCTGTTTCTTGCAATTGTCATTCTGGTTCACAGCCCCCATCCTTCCCTTACTGCCCCCACTGTGAATCAGCACTGATTAAAAATGCTGGAGAGTGGCAACATGAGGGGCAGATTGAATCAGGATTGTTTAAGAGACAGATCTTAGGTGGAATATAGCTAAAGCGAGGAATGAGTGGAGGCACAGCTGGGCAGGAAAACACTGTCTATAATATGGTCTATAGTAGAAGACCATAATAGTCTGGAAAACCCAGAAATCTGAAAGGGAGAAAGCAATTATCACCAAAATACATCTATATGTCAATCTAAAGCGGAGATGGTGGTATTTAATTAGGATCTATTGATATAAACATCTTGAAATTCCTTGCAAAATTCTGTCTATATGTACATATGACTATTTTTCTGGGGAGAAGATTCTTAGCTTTCATGAGATTTGCAAAGGGATCTTGGTCTCTAAATATGAAAAAAACCATGTGATCTAAATGTCTTCATGTATTCTCGAATGAACTATGAAGTACCTAGTAAGTGATCCCTTTGAACAATCACACTTACGATCAATTTAAGGGGTGGGGAGCATGCAGCCTCAAGGCCACATGTGGCCCTCCAGATCCCCCAAGTGTGGCTCCTTGACTGAATCCAAATTTTAATAAAATTTTAATAAAATCCTTTTAATAAAGGGATTTGTTCTGTGAAGTTCGGATTCAGTCAAAAGGCCATATGTGGCCCCAAGGCTGCAGGTCCTCCACCCCATTATTATCTTTGGTATGTATCAAGAGTTGGTTAAAAATAATAAAAATTTTGATACCTAAGACATCAATAGCCTAAAGTTCCATAGTTAAAGAGGCTATGCATGGTAAAGTTACAATTAAAATATTACTTGTTTTTATTAATATTTGTGTGTATATAATTTATTTACATATAAATAGCAGCTGACAAATTTCTAAATGACAAATGATTAATTAATAATTTTATATTCAAATAATATTGAAATGTATGCCAAACTTATATTATTTTTCTATTTATGGATGAGGAAACTGAGACTGATTAAGAAATTGGTTAAAGGCCACACAGATAGAGTGACACAACTGTGACTTAACCGTGGTGTCATGTTCTTTCATTTGTATCACATGGAGTCTATTTCTCAGTAATATATAATACTCTTACATAAACAAATTCATTTGATTAATTCTCTTTTCATACATATACATTTCTTTAAAAATGTTAAAAAACTGATTCAAATCTAGATTAGTAAGGAATATTGAAATTCTAAAACTTACACCAAGATAGAAATTAGCCATGAGCAAAAACTGACAATCAACAACACTTTAAAATTATTAAAGTTCTAAAATCAATGTCTAGGATAAGTGAGAAAATTAGATATTTCTAATTTCTAATTCGTGTTAATGATTTCAGCATTAATACAAAATATTTGGTCCTATCACCTGTTTGTTTTTTCTTCTTAATTCTACCCATTTATCTATTTCACAGTCATTTCATCTTAGCTTAAACATAATTAAATCTGTTTTCTGTCACTGTATTGCATGTTCCAAGTCTCACAAAAGTTTAACTAACCCAATAAATATCAAGCACAGTACTTTGAAGAGATTAAAACATACGCCATCTGCCTGCAGGTTCATATCCTTAACATTATCCCTGGGGTTGAGACTGAGGAGGAAAAACCTATTTATTATTACGTTTTCTTCCAGAGTAAGATTTTAAAAATTAAGTAACTGTGGCAAGATAGGTAAGCTTATCAGAGCGTGAGAGTATCTGGTGAGCTGAAGATCAGAGGACCAGAGGGGAGGTGTGGGAGGGCTAGAGGTAGCAGCAGCTATCTTTGCTCCCTTCCATGGGCAGCATGGCATCTCCCTCCAGAATTCATGCAGACCTTTTCTGTCCAGCTAATTTAACTCACCATGCTTTCTCCAAGGCCCTCAAATGATGTACCTGCCCACTCTCTTCACAAATACCTGGCCAAATCCAAATGCTTCATGGCATCCTAACATTCCTCAATTTCCATTTGTACTTTAAAACTGTTGTAGCTTTTTTCTGGATTCCATTTCTTATGGAACTCTACCATGAACTATTTTGCACAAAAGAAAACACAAAGACTCTTTTACTTCCACTAAATTAAATTAAAATTTAATTTAATTTAAATTGAATTAAGGTAGAGAGGTGCCTTAAATTTACTCTGAAGGCAGGGAGATGTTGACATTACAGGGACGGTCTGCTATGAAATCTTTGGCATATTTCTAATCCAGGGCCTTGGGTTTTGGGAATTATAAATCTAACCCAATTTAACACTCTCAACCTAAAGGGGATGGGGACTCTAAATTGGATTGGCTTCACCCTAACCTAAAAGAAGTAATAGATTTCATTTTTCCATATTTGTGGTCTGGCAGCCATGGCCCTCCTTATATTTTTAAAGTCCAAGAGGATTCCTAAAAGATGCCAGTGTGGTTTGGGGGTAGGGGTAAATATATGTCTTTGCAGGCCCCTATCTATACTGTATACATATGTTTTAAACATGTTCTTGAGAGAAATGTTTTAAAGTCTTCCATCAGCAAAAGCCATTACCTTCTTTTTAAATTACGACATATGTTACACATATGTATTGTGAGGGTTACAGCATGTGAATTACTTGTACAGGAAAGAATATTCTAAAAAGAAAATCAAATAATGTATGTTTCCTTCAGATTAGGATCTAACACTATTGTACATTTATAAATCCAAGGATCATCACTACTGTCTGAGCATGAATGAATCATCGCTCTGGTTAATAACACAGTTGAGGT